AGGGCTCGTGCCAAGCCGAACTCGAGCGGGGAAAGGAGAGGTCCTAAAAGCCAAACGTTCGGGCGCCAGATGAAGGCGTAAGTCACGAACAAGGCCACACCAGTTTGGAGTTATGATTAATAGGGTGTTATTTATTTAAAGGGGAAAACTTACAGATCACCGTCCCAGACAACAGCCATCTGCACAACCAGGAAGGGAGTCTAGTCTCCGGCAGAGCAGGAAGTGAAGAGAGCGAGCAGAGGAAATAGCCGCTTTTTTAAAGGGAGAGAGACCACGCCCCAATGGGCTGGTATCACAGCAGCTATTGGTTGGAGGGGCGGAAGGACCTCCTGCAACAATTGGCAGAGGAGATTCCAAAACAGCCTAATATCGACTGTGTTGCCAGGTTATTGGTGGCTACTCTACAGAGATCTAAAATGAAAAGCAGCCAGCTGAGCAAGGAAAAATGCAAACTGTACAGTCTGAAGAGAAAAGGAGCACCAGGAAGTGGAAGTGAGCTGAGGGTTGCAGCTGATTGTTCTGTGGCTGTGTTTAAGGCATTGGCCATGGCTCCTGTCTGAATGAATAAGAGAGGCCATAAACGACTGCTCCTCCACAAGCTACCACAAGCAAGATGGCTGTGCTGATTGCTGTAGTTATTCCAAAGTCTCTCTTTATTCTAGTGGGACTCATAAGTCCTACCTTGTGATAATGGGTAACATTGGTGATGCACCCATAAGAATGTGGGAATACGTACCAGGACCACACGAGGGGCTTCTTTAGGATTCCAGCAGGCACCCAGCATGCAGAGGCTTCTTTTATTATTTTTATTTATTTATTTATTTATTTATTTATTTATTTATTTATTTATTTATTATGTATACAAGGGTACCAGACCTCATTTACAGATGGTTGTGAGACACCATATGGTTGCTGGGAATTGAACTCAGAACCTTTGGAAGAGCAGGCAATGCTCTTAAGCACCAAGCCATCTCTCCAGCCCCTGCAAAGGCTTCTTGTACAGTATTATATCAGGAGCCATTTCCCCCCAATCATTACAGGAACCATCACCCTAGAGGGTCTGCAGAGAACCCCACACCCAATTAACTTATCTGTTAGCAGAACCCGCCTCACATTCCAGCTATCCAGGGAACTAAGTGTGGCAACTTGTGACTTCTGGCCTACCCGTCCGAATGTAACCGAGCTACGTGACCGGGAACACACGGCCGGCGAGATCCCGTGCCCTGCCCCCCATTCCTTACCATATATAAACTGTAACCCGTCCCTAATAAACGGAGGCTTTGACAAATCTGCTTCGCCTCCTTCTTCTGTCTTAGCTCATTCCCTTCCAGGTAGCGCCCCTCCGAGACCCTGGAATAACTTGATTTCCGGGTGGGTTACAAACCCCTAGACTGAGTAGCCCACCCAACGCAATCGACAGTATTAGCTGCTATACTAGCATTGGTTAGTAAAAGGAAGAAGGGGAGATTGACACCGCTGGGCGTGCCTTTGAAAGTAAAATTAGTTTTTGGTGTTATTTGGACAGCGTCCGCAAATGATTTATCGCCCTTAAAGGTTCCATTATGGCAGAAAAATTGGTTAGGGCTTATCCAATCATTAGCCAAGGGTGCTCTCATCCAAATGAATAAATTTCTTTTTTCCCAAGCAACAAACAACCCAGTGTTTATAAGCAGGGTTAAGGTTCTCCTCATCAAAGACCAAGAATTTTTTTTTAAAGAGGACCTCCACCAAGGCTTGGGGAGGATCCTTTATATTTTCTGAGGAGACCTTGGCCAGCTCTCCTTTTGGGGAGCAGTTTGTTCTTTCTACAATATCCTGGCCTTGGGCATTATAGGGAATTCCTGTTGGGTGGTTGATTTTCCAGCTCTGTAAGAAGTCCTTAACAGTTTGAGAGTCATACGCTGGACCATTGTCAGTTTTTATTGCCCAGGGTACCGCCATAACCAACATGGCTGTCTTTAATACCTTGATAGCTTCTGTGGCCTTCTCTCCTGTTTGGGCTAATGCACACACAGAAGAGGAATGGGTGTCAATAATTACACGTATATACTTAAGCTTACCAAATGAGGCATAATGAGTGATATCCATCTGCCAAAGTGCATTGGGAACCAATCCCCTAGGGTTTATGCCTGCCTTATTCAGAGGCCCCAAAGGGGCCAATGGAGCACATGTGGTATAAGTTCTAGTTAAATGTTTATAGCTGGGTAAGGGTAAATTAGGTAAATTAGGTCCTTCTGCTAAGGACCGCCCATAACTCCCCTAGTTGTACTGATTCAGAATTCGGTTGGGTATAGGCCCTTTCCTTATGAATAACTCCTGGGTCAGGAGTACAGCAAGTACCACGAGCAACTGCTGACAGGCCTGAAGGGCAGCAAGTGGCGTATTTTCATAGACTGTCCCCGGAAGCTGGCCTAGCACATGGAGGACGAGCAGCCCCTGCATCTCGGTCCCTGTGCTCAGCTCCAGGTCAAGCTAGAGGAAGTAGAACTGGATTGGGGAGAAGAGAGACTAGGAGAGGAAGTCCAACGGTTTGTACTCGGAAGAGCAGTTGGGACTCCCCGTAAAGCAAGAAAGCCTTAGGACAATCCCGGAAAGTGGCCCTGGGCAAAAGTCATCAGTTGCTATCAGGCCACTAGGGAGTCCATGCAAGGACAAGAACAGAAGAGAAAGAGAAATTAGTGTTTGTGGACCCAGTGTGCTCCTTATAGTGAGGGACTTCCGCGGTTAGGCCACTGCCATATGCTCACAGTGTCTCCGAGTGAAAAGGACCTGCCGTGGGTCCTTTCCTGGTTCTACCCTCGTGGGTGGTCAGCCCTTGTGTGGAGGTACCTGGACGAACCGAGTCAAGACCTTCCTAACCAGGCAGACAAACAGGAGAAAGAAAAGAAAGCCCCAACTCACCAAAGGCTTGGAAAATGAGAATAGGGGTCAACTCACCCAAAACAGCCAAAGGGGGCGAACCCAAGACGCCAGCGGAGAAGGTATCCGGAGCAGCAAGCAAGGAAGAAAAATGCCCAGAAGAGTGTAAGGAGGACCCAAAAAGAGAGCAAAAGGAAAAGGTCCGTCCATGTCAGGAGCCAGTGTAGTTTTTGCTGGTTTATTGCTGCTCGCCTGTGTGCAGTCGCCATTTCCTTTTCCGGGGGGGGGGGGGGGGGGGGGGGGGGGG